GGGGAACAAGGTGAATGAAGCAGCCAGCTTCATTATACCAATCTATAAAGTCCTCTTCGGACTCATGCAACACAGCCAGCCACAACCACTGAAAGCCCACAGCATGGTCATCGGTGGCTCCTCCCTGGAGAGAAACGCTATCAGGAGAACACAGGTGGATGGTTTCTGGGGGCAGGAGGGGGTGGGGCATGGGGAGAAACTACTTAAAGGTATGGGGTCCTCTTTGCCCAGGGGATGCCTTGAAACTAGAAGGGGTGTGTGTGTGTGTGTGTGTGTGTGTGTGTGTGTGTGTGTGACGGTTACAAAACCTCCTGAGTGCATTCCATGCTGCAAAAGTGTTTACTTTGAGAGGGTCCATTCTACTCCGTGTGGATTTCACCTCCATGACCAAAGTTAAGTAGACGATGTATCAAAGATGGACACAGAACTGGAGAGGGCCTGGAGACATTCTCCTCCGGCCTCACCTTGGTCATGGTCAGGAGGTCCTTGTTGGCCATCACAGCTGGGAGGGAGGGAGATGGCAGATCTCCTGGTGTCCTCTGCTCCTGAGCTTTGAATTCTGGGGAAACCAGGGCCTACCAGCTCTGTCAGGGCACCTCCCGGCACCAGTGCCTGTACTCAAGGCTCCTCATATAACCAGGGGGCTCAAGGGTGACAGAGACCGGCACCCTGACCTGTCAGACCACCACATGGAGCTTGTTAAAAACCCATTATTACCTAACTCCAGTCTCCCCCCACCAGTGGGAGAAGGCGTGGTGCTGCTAGTTTCAACATGAGGACGTCAAATTCCCAACAATTACTTGCCCCTGGATTTCCATTCCCCCACTCCTTCCCAGCTTTTGCCCACTTGTTGCTGCTGTAGCCCCCTGAGCAAGGAGGGGCCACTATACCCCTGGCTGAAGCATCCTCACCATCTCTGCACTGGGTACCAGGCCCACCAGGGCCCCGGCCTGCTGAGTCCTGCTTCCCAAGGGTAATGCTTACTAAGGGCTGGCCCAGGTTCAGCCGCTCTCGAATAAGGCATGACAGCTCAGATAGGATATGGCACCATGGGAAGGGGGGGGTGGGGTAGGCCAAGGAACTGGCTGGCACCCTAATCAGTCAGAAACGGTGTATTAGTCCGGATAGACTAGAGAGACAAATTCATAAACACTCATATGTGTGTAAGAAAGAGCTTTACATACAAGAGCAATTGTATATTAAGAAAGCATCCCAGCCCAGTCCAGATCAAGTCTATAAGTCATATGTTAGCCCATATGTGCAACACTAGTCCA